CGAGGGGGGAATCGTGGCGGATGAGCAGCGGCCCTGGCCCGAAGTCGTCGGTGAGGGCCGCACTGGAGAGGAAGGGGTCGACCCCCGTCAGCAGGCTCAGCAGGAGCAGCCCGAAGGCCCACGTGTCCGAGGTCGCGCAGAAGACGCCGTGGGGGGACTGGCGGGAGTAGGGCGGGAGGCGCCGGCGCTCGCCCGCGGCGGTGGCCCCCCCTCCCCCTCCCCCCCCTCCCCGCGCCGGGGGTGTGTGGCTGACGAGCTCGAAGTCCCCGAGGGCGACGTGGCCGTGGCGGGCGAGCAGGATGTTTCCGGTGTGGAGGTCGTTGTGGGTGAAGCCGTGGTAGCGGACGCCCTGCCGCACGTGGCCCATCCGGTGGTTCAGCACCACCACCGCCTGTAGGACCTGAAAGGCGATCGCCGCGACGACCTCCACGGACTCCACCGGGTCGTAGGCCGGGTCGGACAAGAAGGCGGACGGGGCCTCCCGCAGGCTGTCCCCCAGCCCCTCCCCGTCCTCGTTCTCGCTGGGGTGGGAAAGGGGAAAGGGCCCGCACACCCGCCTCCACGGCGTCCGCCGCGACGAACGGCTCAGAAGAAAGCCCTTGAGGCTGAAGTCGTAGAGGGGCATCAGCACCCCAAGGTCCTCGTCGTCGTGGTGCACGACAACGGCGAGTGGCAGGACAAGATGGCTCAGTCCTGTCAGGTGGTCCTTTCCGGCGAACGCGCTATAACTCCCTGTCTCGGACAAGACCTCCAAGTCCTCCAGAGTTGTGGAGGGAAATGAAATCTTGAGATGCTTTTCGTCTTCGCACAGAGGATCGTTCGAGTCTTTTCCAAGGAATAAGGTGGACTGCATGATTCGAATAAATAACATCTCATTCTCAACAATCGGTGTCGGGTATACCTTATGCGCCGCGTAGTCCGATGTCACCATCAGCTCAGACTTCATTTCTTCGCTCAGACGAACACGAAAAACCCGAGATCCTCGCTCACCACCGCGGCCAACCTCATCGCCAAGATCGTTCAAATTGGTTGCCCTCACACGTTTGATTCCATCCCACATATCAGGTACGTCTTCTATCGCACAGTGGCTGGGAACCTTGTAATAATTAAGGTATTCTTTCGGCACATACTCGGCGAAGGAACTCATTTCGGCGCAGTAACTGTATCGTTCGCTTTCTTCTACACTACTACTGTTGTCGATCTCTTCGTCATAGAAGGGTTTCGCACCCGATACATTTTCCATCTCCATTTTGTACACACTGTCATTGTGCTCACAAGGAGGTTCGGGGTTGTCTTCATCATTTTCAAAAAAAGGGATGTTGTTTAAATCTATTAATTCAGGATCCTCAATGGTAACAAGATCAGAATTCGTATTCATCTTCATAAAAGTCATTATCTTGGGAATGAAGTCTGGACTACGCTACCTCTTATTTTTACATACCTTCACAGAAGAGAAGGGAGACGTATTTGTGGCGATGAAGTAGGTACTGGAAATAGAGATCCGTTGTACTCTGTGCTTTGATGAAAAAATAATTTTATCAAAGCACAGGATGGTCGATATGAGGATTATGAAAAAGGGTTTCGTGTATTTTTCATATATATATATTACTGTTTTTTGATCAATCCTTGCGTGATGTGAGTCTGCCTTTACACTTTTCTACCCCCAAAGCGTTAATGAAAGCAATCCTCGGACTATATCAACTGCTCAGAGTTTGCACGTGCACTGACACCGTTAACAGTTAACACACACTTATACTCAAGAAACCCTCAATGAATAAGGTTCCAAATAAATTATCCTTTTAGTCTTTATCGTGTCTCCTTTAAATTCGCTTCTGAAAAAAAACGCCGTACCTTTTCTTGGTATATCTACCTTTGCTTTGCCTATTTTTTTACTTGATAAATACACTAAAACGAAGCTAAATAATAAAAAAGCTACTTGTTTTTTCTCGTTGCGAAGAAACTTTATAAACAAGTTCAAAAGCAAAGATAATAGAAAAAAAAAGTAAAGGAGAGTGGAAATTTTCAAACATAAAAAGATCGAAATAGTAAAATAATAGCACCGAGAAGTATATTTCCACAAAAGTTTCACTTTTTTTTTCTTACCACCTTATTCAATGCAACTGAGCTACTGTTCTCTCTGTGTGTGTGTGTGCATTGACCAGTTAGAGTAGTTTACAGAAGTCTTCCCGAACACCCATCCTTCTCTCTTCCCCTTCTATTTTCCTGCCACATCCAACGTGGTTTACGGCACTCATTCGAACAACTTCGAAATAAAAAATAAGGACTTTAGTGGTTTGCTTTACAAGACCGGAAGGAAACCACAGCCCCCTCCCTTTCCTTTGACCAAAGAAAGGTAAGAACCCCCCTACAACGGTCCAAGACAGGGCCCGGCCATCGTAGCGATGGCGATGGCGCCGTGGGATTGCGGCGTCTCCGCGAT